TCTCTGCTAAACCGCTTGAGACCTGTGGCGAGAGTTAGCCATTCGGTGGGCATTCCGCGACGATAGCGTCACGGGGAGGGCCAAGCTGGTCGCCGGGAGCATATAATGCGCTGATCGTGTACCCTTAGCGGGTCCGCCTGCCTTTCCACAAAGCAAGTTTCCCTTTCTTGACCTTCGACCTTGAAAAAACCTCGTGGAATCCTCTTTCAAGACCAAGATACTGCAAGGAGCTATGCTTGCTTTTTTTTTCAAAAAAAAAGCGCTTGGAAAGGGTAGTGGTGACGGGGAATATGCAGAGACTGCTCTAGTTCATATGCTTCATATGCTTGCTTATGAAAGTCCTCTTGACTGCGTAATCCTGATGAATGTTGGCATCTTTCAGAGATGACTATAGAGGTGAGTTGGAAAATGCGACATCGCAGCTATGGATGAAAGGCGACGGAGCAGCTGTGTGGTTGGACCGTGAGTGGCAGCGAGGAATAGTATGCACTCCGACCATGAGCGATAAAGTGAGCACTTCAGTTTATTGTTTTATTGTTTATTAATACGTTACATAAGGCAGCGTAAGAAACAACAGCCATTGCAATTCATGTGGGCAAAGCAATCTCAAAAAACTAGGAAATTCTGTAACTCATGATTTTTTAGAAATCTGCTTTTTAAACCTTTTCAATGAGCTAGGGAAGGCTATATTTTTAGTCAATTTTATGTATGAGCTTGCGGCTCTGAAAGTGAAACTTCTGGCCTCCAACGTTATGTTTGTGTACTATAGTCTCTCTTAGGTGACAACCTTGGACGTGTTCCTTATCGACGTCGGAAAGACGGTTAACATATCAAAAGATCAGGTCTTACCTTTGCATAGTTACTACAACAACAAGCCTCCGTTCGCTGTCTGCTGTTCTATTGGCTGTTTCGACATATTTCATGGGGTGAGCAGTTATTTGAAGGACTACTATTTTCGATTTTTTTTGTTGAGAACTCGGGCGCTCATGTCATTGGGGGGGGGGGACATTCAAGTGAGTGAGCCACTTACAGCACTTGGGACTAAGCCTTAGGAGGGGAAGGGATTCTGGGAAAGTTGTGAGCAATTTGTGTTTTCCCTGGCGTTCTTCCCTCTTCTGGGCTTAGTCCCCCTAGCGTCACCTACTACCGGCCGTGTTTCGAATGTCACCCCCAAGGTCATGAGCGTCTCTTTTTGAGTTTTTTTTTTCACCTTACAAATCATTTTTTATCCCTTTCATTCACCTTTAGACCTCTGAATCCTTTTCTGAGTTTGCGAGTCCATTATGCGACTCTGCAGGTTAGCCTTCGATTGGAACATTGTCATGAGCGTGAATTGCCTATTCACTTTCAATTTCCGATTTCCGACTTACGCTTGGAATAAAGGCAAGAAGCGCCAGAGTTATCCCTTCGATGGATCTCGCGGCGCTTTGAATGATTTCGATGATTTTACACGACATAGCCTCCATGCTTCGTTTTCCAATTGCCACTGCTTTTCCATTACTGGTCTTGACTTGAGAGAGTTAGACAAGGATCGTATTTTATTTATTTTGAACTTTTATTTATTTTGAATAACTTTAGGTAATCAGTCAATGCCGCATCATGGCTTGTTTGTATTCTTCGTTTGTCATACTCCACCAATTTTACATATGTATTATATAATTTATTTATATTTATTTTATATAGGATTTTATCTTAGTGGATCTATCAACTTTGATCCTTATTGGATTAGGTAAAAATAAAGTTGGGCATTTGAAAATCAAAGTAAGCAGCTGCTTCGAAATGGAAGGTCTTCCAGGTATAGGCAAAAGACTTGAGAAATTAGACAAGGATGGTATTGTCCTCTGAAAGTCATGTCTTCCTCGCTGTATTATCTTAAATTATCGTAGATTGTGTTAGAATGACAATGTTTAAACTAAAAACTGTTACTATTTGAAAAATAAAGATTAAATAGAAAAGATAAGAAAGTATTGTCCACTGCTCTTCTAAACGGCCCTTTTGATTTCGACCGTAATTTTCGAGGCACACCTCACGCTCATTGTATAATGTAGAGTCAAGTAGACCATTACACCTCGTCACAGGGGTGCCTCTCCCATTTGCCCTCTTACTGCTAAAAAGGCTCGCAAAGGGAGACAAGTGTAGTAGTCCACGCGATTCCACCCGGCCATCATTTTATGAAAACTATCTTCAAAATAGTCGTTTTCTTTCGTAGAATTGTCGGAACAAATCTGGTTCCTATTTTCATCAGCAGTAATCGTCTTTAACAGCCATTATTTCAGAGGCGTCCTGACTTGGTGGACGAGTGTTACAAAATGGCAGTCGCTCTATTGAAAGCGAAACCGGAAACGTTGCTGGCCGAGATTAAAGACAAGGTAGGGATTGAATCGGCCATTTACCTTTAGTCCTCCGATTTGTACCCACTTGATCGCTGAAGTTATGGGATTAGCTTTTGCTGAAGTTCTTATTGATACTTCTGTAAACATTTGCTATTTGGAAAACTCCATGTGAATGTGTTGTTTATGATAGTTCAAACGCTAAACAATTGTCTCTATCCCACCCATAGTCCAATTAATTGTGGTAAAATATTATTATCGACAGGATGCCAACGCCTTGGTCAGCATGCGTTAATCAAATTAACTGAAGTTAAGTAATGTTCGGTGCTCACCCTGGCGTAGACTAAGATCCGTTTTTTAAGACTCAATGTCCGTCAGCGGATTGGTCAGCTGTTTCAATATTATAATATTTTCCGACTTTGGTAATATTCGAGCCCTTTAGGAGGATAAAGAGGTGTAACCTCGCTTTCATCACTCGATATCGGGGTTGGGATTGGTATATCTGCAGCAGCCTGTGCGTACGGTTTTAGGGGGTTTGTGGAGGCTGTTGCAGTTTTTATACCGATTGGGTGCGCATTGAGTTAGAGCTCTTCACTTTCACACATCAATCATAAACTGCCAGTGAAATCGATTGACTCGCAAGAGATAAGCCTTTTTTGTTGTCTGTTTCAGATCTGGGACAACAAGGAGAAACTGAAAGTGCGGCTGTGCTATCGTCAGTCGAAGCCAGCTATTTTCATCCCGGACTACTTGGTCGAAGACAAGATCATCGATCTTCGATAATGACAGCCCGCCTTTCACAAGATTTTCCAATGCCCTCTCGTTTGCCTTCACGTCGTTCTCAAAGCTGTTCCGGTTTGCTATCTTTGAATATTTGACGTTCAAATGGGTTCCATAATAATCTGGTCATCCTTTTCTACTTCGGTGAATTTACATTTCAATTGAATTTTCTCGCTGTTCATGGAACTCGCGCTTCTTATCCTACCCGCTTTACAATGTGCTGACGGGTCTAGGAGTTCTGTTGCTTGTTTGCCATGTTATGCTCTATTCGGTCTCAGACCAGTTGTTGCGTCTCGGTGCAACACGGACTTTTCGAACTACCGTAATCATTCGGTATTTAAGTTGCTAGCCGCTAAAATAATCTAGGTATGGGATATGGTTGTGCCCATCGTCTGCAACTGCACAATGAGACGAGGCTTTCAATTTTGCTCGCTTCCCTTCATGTTGGAACAGACGAAATTCTCTATTCTGTGGTAGTCCCGTTAAAATTTGTACTGTGGGACTCGTACCGGTGCTTGCTAGTTATGGCTATTTTGCCCAGAAGGCTTCAATGGAGGGACTTGATTCCCCCTCTGTGAATACTATTTTTACTGCTCCATAGACGTGGAAAACCGCTTTACTCCACGTTGCTTGTGTTCATTACGTGTAGTTCAACGCATTGTTGTGGGAAGGTCTACGGGTAGTCCTTGTTCATTCTAGGAATCGTTCCAGGGGTCTGCTGTGCTGGCTGTAATGATTCTTTTGCATATTATGCGATAGTAGGTTCTTCCATGTTGTTCAGTTGGTTTCGACCTTAGAGACAGTGACTACGATGGCTGGAGGGCGTTTCAGTTGTGATGATGTCACTGAATGTCATTGGTGGAAGGGCTCGTATAGCGCGGTCCCAAGCCAAACCTCACCAATGCGCTGAAGGGGTTCACCACCAACGGACCGCTTCACTGACGTCACAGAACCCGCGCCGCTCTTCTCCAATTGGTGCCCTCCTGCCTTCAACAAAGGTGAGGTAAAGGGCTCATCTTCCGTCCCGCGTGACTATTCTCCGCTGTGATCCACCTGTGAACCGACGAGAAGATCTGCTGATTGGCGAGAAAATGCATAGTTTTTTTCGCTGTGGAACCGAAGTTCGCCCCAATGTCGCCATCAATCATGCAATGCTATGCCGCCTCTCTGTCGTCTGCTTTCTGTAGTGATTAATAGTCTTATAGTAATCCATCATCTTGGTCATCATTTATTATTTGTGAATTAAAAAATATTAAGTGAAGCATAGTTGAGTTACACAGAATTTTAACTAAGAAGTTTTTTTGATGTTTCTAACCTCTATATCAGGAAGAAATAAACAGATTTGTGTTGTTCAAGTCTTCCTGGCTGAAGTTGGTCTCAAATGAACTGCAACATAAAAGCAGAAAAGCAAGGCTTGAGGGAAAGGGATGCAGGGGTTGACGCTCCTCAAGCGCATTTCAGCACTCTGCTGGTCTTTCGTCTCAGAGCCTAAATTTGGTCTCGGTGGATTGTGGGAGTAGCGAAGACTGAGCAGAAGTAATTGTCTCGGAATACGTAAGTGCGAATTCCTTCTCATACAGCCGTGAATATAACTATCTGCTCACATCATAAAACACTGGGTCATCAGACCAGTCTATGATAACATGAAGGAAAAAACCCCGACATAGCTCTGCACTGTGTGACCTCGACGAGGTGTCGACAAATCATCGACCGATATCAACCTTGGTTGGGAACTATCATGCGCAACAAGAACGCAAAGAAGAAGAGCGTATGTTTCGGTAACAAATCCAAAATCGCAGAAGCTGGTTACACGTTCAAAATTCCCGGCCGAGATCTGTTACAATGTGGGCGACAAAAAACGATTTCCCTCGGTTCTCGAAGTGCCACCACTAGAAACCCTTTTTGGACCTTTTCCACTTTTCTTCTACTGCATCCTATGCTATCGATCCTTTTGTCTCTGTTCTCGGAATTCGAACGCTAAGCCGTTCGATGCGTCGCCTGTACATACGTGGCCGCCCGAGACGCTCTTCTTTCCATGCGTTTCCTTGTCTCCGCCCGACCTACCCGCGACCGTCCGCAGAGTACAATTTTCGAGGTCGTCTTTGGAAACTGAATCTCCTGTCAGAAACTTTTGCCTCTCTAGCAATCACCACTGACGTACTCAAGTTGAGGAAGAATGCAAGAGTTTCCTTGAGCGATTCCTTCAACCACCGACAAGTGGTGAGCGGGGAGTATAGGTACTGAAACACTCATTTATTCAACAAACATAATAACTCCTTTTGCGTGAGACCTGATGGAGCCCTACACTGTATTTTTGAACGTTCAGGTCATATCAATGCAAGAAGTGTGCTGTACGATGAAAAGTTAGCTCGCTGGAAATAAGAATAGAGGGGTCAGAGGAGTAGGGATGAAAGAAGAGAAACCAATTTGAAACGACGCCGAACACCGGAGAACGAGAACAGCCTTCTTTTGCCCGTGACTGGGGCGCATTGGGTGCGACTGTCGATCGGCTGTGCCCGTCTCTGAAACTATTTCAATCACTCGCCGCGTATAGACCGATCTGCGGGCGAGGTGAAGATAGTCGGTGGGCGTACCCCGCCAACCGCGCCAAGAGTGAGCCATGCTAGATCGCCGAGGTCAAATCTTTCGCTGCCAATTGCGCGTCGGTCAGCACCCTCAGGAGGTCCGCCTGTCTCCCAACTATGCAATTTCCCCTTCTTTGACCTTCGTTCTTATCGTGAATTCCTCCTTTAAGTCAAGAACGCAGCGAATATGCTCCAATTGTTGCGGCGTCACTCGTGCTAGAACACTGGTTGTACCGGTGGTACATGCCAAGGTACACTTTACCACACTTTTCCTCTTCGGGTAATAGAGGAGCGGTGTTTTTTCCCATGGTTATGACTATATTTATCCTTTTCTTGACTTCAGTGGTCTAACCCGGCTACTATAATATTTTCATGAAACCCATTATTGAACAGATACCGTGACTCAGTGGGGTGCAACTTTTGGGATACGGCTCGGCATAAGCAGTGCTAAAGGTGAAGGCGAGCACAATGCAAGCGGTTGCGGTGCGGTTAGTGACATCGTAAACACTGGAAATAGGAGTAGGAGAATGCTGGAGCAGGACGAGTTCTTGAAATCAATATACGTATACGGGCGGAAGTGGTGTAGTGGCAAGTGGCACGCTTACCACGCGAGCGGTCCGGGGATCAAATCCTGGGTCGTGAGTCGCCCGGGCCAACCAAGCCTTCCATCCCTCCGGGGTCGGTTAATTGGTACCAGACTTGTCTGGGAGGATAAAAACACTGACTTGTACATCGGCTGGCCCCCGCAAGTCATTGTATAGGCCACATCGCATTCAAACGCCACTACGAATGTACAAATGGAAGTAGAATGCGTGCCGCATCCCAAAAAGGGATTGATCAACGGCAAATGCTTTATCCTTATCCTTTTATACGTATCGTATGTGCTTGCTCTAATGATGTATGTACATTGTATTCAGAAATTTGCGGAAAGATAATAAGTATAGACCACCAATCCTCGCCATGCGCCATGAAGCAGATAGACATGTGAAACGAGCATAGACGATATAATTAGGGCTCACAAGATAAGGAGAAATAGGAAAAAAGCTGTATTCTACGGTTATTTT